AAGTCCACACAAAATATTTTTATATAGTTAATTGCCAAAATAAACTACAATGCCTTGAAAAGAGGCTACATCGGTAGCTAGTATTTAGAGACTTCAAATAAAGATTTCCTCTTAATGAACTAAATTAGAATTTATGGGAAACAATGAATATGCATAACAAAAAATTTGTCGTGATCTTCTCTAACTAGAGTAGGACTGGTAACTCCAAATATTCATCATATATGTATGTATATACATATGCTTGCTATAGAGTATTTAGTATAATTGCTACCACACCTCTGTAGTATTTTTAGTTTTATTTGCCAAAGAATCTCATAAAAACAATCGCACTCTCTTAAATTGCCTAATAAAAATAAATTTAAATTAAACCATAAATATTTCAATATTAAATTAATTCACAAAATTTTGAAAATTTATTTTCCCTTATCAGTCATAAGTGGGTGATTTCGTAGAAAAGGGTATATTATGGGGTTTTTGGTCTGAAGAAGACTAAATAATTTACTGCACGAACTGATGATGGTTACAAGTTACATTTTCTAAAAAGAGAGCATTTATTAATAATTTTTTTCGCATTAAAGTCTGAAGTAAGTTATTCTACGAAGAAAAATTGCAATATTTTAAAGACTTTCGACATGGGTACTACGAACCTTAGGTTAGGCCTGTCACAGCTACACTTAGATCAAGAAGGTGGTTACAGATGTTTTGTTAGATTAAGTTGTATACTACATCAAATCTGATGAAATACACTTATACTACTAACGATCCAATTGTGCGCACCTTTTCATGGTAAAAGTTTGTTGGTGAAAAAACTCAGTTTCCTACAATTAATTTCTAAGAATTTTTCAAGCAGTGCCAAAAAAGTGTTCCAAAGTTTAACTGCTAACACCCTATATGATCTTCTTGATTCTACCCACCACTTCATTATTCCAAAAGTCCATATGGGATTCTCTCGCACATATTTCTGTTTCAGTCCTAGTTGCGTCGAATTCAGAAGTAATCGAGTAGGAAAGTGAACGAGAATGATGAACTCAAGATGTAAGGTTAGATTAGGTTGTATACTACATCAAACCTGACCACTATCGGGCCGGTTATACGCTCCTCTCCATGGAAAATGTTTGTTGATAAACAACTCAGGTTCTTGTACGAAATTTCTGAGAATGTTATATCCGGAATAAATCACTCCCAAGATATTTGGATCTAATTCGTTGAAAGCCTGTCAATGACAGAGAAAGTGTTCCAGAGTTTCACTGCCCTCTCTACATGCTCTATTTTCGTCTGAATCCGCACGACCAGTTTGCTCATTTTGAGGATGGTACTCGTTCACCCTATATAATCATTGTGGACCTACCCACCATGTTATTATTCCAAGAGTCCGTATGGGATTCTCTCTTCCCATACTTTTATTTCAGGAGAAAATTTCGATTTGAATTGAAATGCAGAATAGGGGTGATTAGCTTTTCCGTTACCAACTACTCCCGAGTAATCATCTTCAACTAATATAATTCATCGTTTTTTCAAGCTATTTCCTAGTTGTAATCACAAAATTTCCTGAATATTTCAATTAAGTTGTCATATAGAACTCCCTTTTTATGTCATATCAAAAAAGGAGTTTCAAAGACTATTGCAAAAGACGAAGAATATAATATTAATTAAGCTTTGATCTTTTCATCGAGGTCATGAAGAGTTTTCGAGAAGATTTTCATATCCTTTAGAATTATATTGTATGTATTTCACTAAGATAACCATTTATCAAGCCCAATATTAATTTTAAGTATAGAAAAGCAAATTTCGTAACTAATATAAAACAATTAAGAAAGTATAGTCGGGCGTGCCGACCATATGATACTCTATACCAGTTATGAATATTAAAGTATTTTTCATAATAAAGTATTTATCCTCAATACAACCTTGTTTCCGATACATTTAAGCAATTTATGAACGAAAAATTAATTTTCTGAAAAATGGTTTATATGGGGGCTTGGGCCAATATGGACCGATCTCGATAAAATTTTGTGAATAGATTTAGATTTTTATATAATATTTATTTGTGCTGGATTTCATTGCGATATTAGTGTTTATATGTGAATTTTGGACATTCAAGTCAGTTTCTGAAGGGGACTTTGTATGGGAGCTGGGGTCAAATGAGGCCCGATCTTTATGAAATTTGGCAGGGTGATCAGGACTTCTATAAAAGTTAGTTGTGCCGCATTTTATCGATATATCTGTATATTTAACATAATTATGAGCTCAGAAGCTCTTTTCGGGGGGTTCTGTTCTATGGGGGCTAGGTGAAATAATGGACCGATTTTAACCTTTTTGAATAGGCTTCGTCCTTGCCAAATGCGTGCATGCCAAATTTCATCCAATTATCTTGAAAATTGCGACCTGTACCTTGCGCACAAGGTTTACATGGACAGCCAGACGGACGGACGGACATAGCTTAATAGACTCAGAAAACGATTCTAAGCCGATTGGTATACTTTAAGATGGGTATAGGACGAATATTTTTGTATGTTACAAACATCAGCACAAACCCAATATACCCTCCCCACTAAAGTGGTGTAGGGTGGACGAAATGTCTAAGAATTGGACGAAATGTCTAAGAATTTTTTAAGCAATGCTCGTGAGAGATGTTATATCCGGAATAAATCACTCTCAAGATATTTGCATCTAATTCGTTGAAAGCCTGCCAATGGCAGAGAAAGTGTTCCAGAGTTTCACTGCCCTCCCTACATGCTCTATATTCGTCTGAATCCTAACGGCCAGTTTTGTATAGCTGTACCATTGTTCATTTTGAGGAGGCTACTCGTTCACCATATGTAATCATTGTGGACCTACCCACCATGTCATTATTCCAAGAGTCCGTATGGGATTTTCTCTTCCCATACTTTTATTTCAGCCCTCGTTGCGTCGAATGGTTTTGCCTTCGTTAGAGTAACAACCTCAAGCTCCCTTCCCTATAAAGTTAGTACATTCACCAGTATTCTGCATTCCGATTACGTTTCCGTATTCAGTTACGCTACTATCGAAAATTGGTATTCCTACAAAAAACGGAATAGTAAGAATGAAGAGAAGCAATTCCATTTTATTTCAATGCTTTACCCATATCCCGTATTCGGTTAAAGCTTTATTACAATTTAATACGGACTTAGATTTAATCTTATCATCTTCGACTAATATAATTGATCGTAAGCCGATTATTGTTTTTTCAAGCTATTTCCTAGTTGTAATCACAAAATTTCCTGACTTACATATTTCTATGGTGGGATATTTGACTAGACGAAGAATATAATATTAATTAAGCTTTGATCTTTTCATCGAGGTCATGAAGAGTTTTGAGAAGATGTTCACATCCTTTAGTATTATATTATTTGTATGTATTTCACTAAGATAACCATTTATCAAGCCCAATATATTATCAAAGTTAATTTTAAGTATAGAAAAGCAAATTTCGTAACTAATATAAAACAATTAAGAAAGTATAGTCGGGCGTGCCGACCATATGATACTCTACACCAGTTATGAATATTAAATTATTTTTCATAATAAAGTATTTATCTTAAATACAACTTTGTTTCCGATACATTTAAGCAATTTATGGACGAAAAACTAATTTTCTGAAAAATGGTTTATATGGCGGCTTGAGCCAAATATGGACCGACCTCGATAAAATTTTGTGAATAGATTTAGATTTTTATATAATATATATTTGTGCTGGATTTCATAGCGATATTAGTGTTTATATGTGAATTTTGGACATTCAAGTCATTTCCTGAAGGGGACTTTGTATGGGAGCTAGGGTCAAATGAGGCCCGATCTTTATGAAATTTGGCAAGTTCATAAAGGCTTGTATAAAACTTATTTGTGCTGCTTTCCATCGGGTATATTTAAAATGATTATGAGCTCAAAGGCCCTATTCGGGGTGTTCTGTTGTATGGGGACTAGGTGTAATAATGGATCGATTTTAATCATTTTCAATAGACTTCGTGCATGGGCCGAAAAGTGCGTGAACCAAATTTCATCGAATTATATTGAAAATTGCGATCTGTACCTTGCGAACAAGGTTTACATGGACAGCCAGCCAGACGGACGGACATAGCTTAATCGACTCAGAAAATGTTTCTAAGCCGATTGGTATACTTTAAGGTGGGTATAGAACGAATATTTTTATGTGTTACAAACATCAGCATAAACCCAATATACACTCCCCAATAAAGTGGTGTAGGGTATAAACACGTATTAGTCATATATTCCAGCCCCTAATAAAACTATGTCAAGTTCTTTTTCTATCAAAACAATTCTTTTGTTACAAATTAATAACAATTTAATAATGTAATTTACAAGTACTCATTTAATTTTTTACTAGTTTTAATTCCCTTTAACAAAATCTAGTTTTTATCAATATTTTTTTTGGGGGAAAGAAACGTGTAACTCATCACATTGTTTAGACGCGAAAAAGTGAAACAAGTTATCGTGTAAAATACTTAAAGATTTATACAAAATTACATACATTTGTATAGGTTTTGATAATTTTTAAACAAAATATCAATTTTTATCAATTTGTTTTATTTCATACAAATTTTTTGTTGCCAAACTTTGATTAAAACAAGTACTAAATAATGTATTTTCATTATTTTTGGCGTTTACGTTTTTTAATAACATTTTTTGTGCTTTTTTTTTGTCCATCATAAATTCTTAAAAGTCTGATAACCCATTCTGTTCGTTATCGCATCCCGAGTACTTCAAATGCATGATTCTCAGATATAGTTGTGAATTGTTATTATTGCTTTTAAGGTACTTGTGATATATATATGTATGTAGTAGTAGTAGTGGATACACTAAATACATTCATAATAATAATTTCAAATATTAAGTATTAAATATAATTTTTTATGATCCAACTAACAATAGATTAGTAGAGTTGTGTGTAAGTGTAAGATTTGGTTTGCTGCCTGGCATAATGCCGGTTATGATCAGGAAAATATGGTTTATTTGTTCTGACAATAAGTCAGTCTGCTGAACGCCGTTAACTGTTGTAGACGCGTTCACTTTTTAAACGTAGTGAATATTATATAGAATTTCTATTTCAAACCAAAGTAAATGAAAACGTTTTAAAAAGTATTGAAAAAACGAAAAGAACTTATAGATCCTTTATACCCTTCTGTATTATAGAGGATTAAAGGATTTTTTTATAACAAAAAAAGTTAAAGAAATATTTAAATAAACTTTTGAAGTGTGTAAATAATCAACGTTTAAAATGGCAGAAGAAAACGGTATTAATTTTTAAAATATTTAATTTTAAATTTATGTTTTATTAACAAGTGTTTGTAAATAATTGTTGGAGAAAAATTTTCTATTTGCACAAAAAAAAAACAATTTTGTTTTAATTAACTTTATAAGATTTTATCTAAATGTGTAGGGAAAATATAATTATTAAATTAAATTGTTTTTATGTGAAGATATAAATATCAACAAATAATTTATGAGAATTTTTGTTTTCGAAAGATTGCGAGAAATTTTTAACAGTTTGTGAAAAATTGGCTATAGGAAGTAACTTAAAGCAGTCAAATCCAGTATAGTTTATGTGACCAAAGATTAAATTAGTATTATCTCGGTGATTATGACTATATGTCCGTTGTAGTGAAACAGATCAGAGTATCTTATGAGGATCGGTCTGGAATCACCAGACTGTTAGACTAGCTTATCAAAAACTATCGCATCAAGAAACTGTAAAGATCTTTATTTGAAAATAAGAAAGTGATCGAAAGGATATAGTGCAAAGTTCTTTCTTTAAGCTCTTTCTTTACTCGATTTTATAAAACAATCTGAAATAAAAAAATTATAGATCCAAGACGACTTAGATCGAATATTTTGTAAAGATTTTTAGTATTATAATAAGTTCGATTGTTAAATCATGTTGATCAACTGTTACTGATTGATGGTCTAAGGAACTTAAGAAAGTGATCGAAAGGTTATAGTGAAAAGCTCTTTCTTTACTCGCTTTTATAAAACAATTTGAAATTAAACAAGTAAGAAAGTATAGTCGGGCGTGGCCGACCATATGATACCCTACACCAGTTATGAATATTAAATGTGATTTATTTTTCATAATAAAGCATTTATCTTCAATATTCCCTTGTTCCGATACATTTAAGCAATTTATGGATGAAAATCTAATTTTCTGAAAGAGGCTTTATATGGGGGCTAGGGGCAAATATGGACCAAGCCCGATAAAATTTTGTGAATATATTTATATTTACATAATATTTTATTGTGCTAAATTTCATCGCGATATTTGTGTTTATAAGTTAATTTGGGACATTCAAGTAATTTTCTGAAGGGGACTTTGTATGGGAGCTAGGGTCAAATGGGGCCCGATCTTTATGAAATTTGGCAGGGTCATCCAGACTTCTATGTGAAATAATGGACCGATTTCAACCATTTTCAATAGGCTTCGTCCTTGGGTCAAATAAAACGTGCGTGCCAAATTTCATCCAATTATCTTGAAAATTGCGACCTGTACCTTGCGCACAAGGTTTACATGGACAGCCAGCCAGCCAGCCTGCCAGACGGACGGACGGACGGACATAGCTTAATCGACTCAGAAAACGATTCTAAGCCGATTGGTATACTTTAAGGTGGGTCTAGGACGAATATTTTTGTATGTTACAAACATCAGCACAAATCCAATATACCCTCCCCACTAAAGTGGTGTAGGGTATAAATATAGATCTAAGGCGACTTAGATCGAACATTTTGGAAAGAATTTTAGTATTATAATAAGTTCGATTGTTAAATCATGTTGATGAACTGTAACTGATTTGTGGTCTGAGGAACCTTAGAGGTTCGTATTAACATTCCAGGATCGATTTTACAAAATAACTTTTAGCTAAACCTAATTGATTGGAAAGTACCTTAGGTTAGGTTAAGTTGGAAGCGACAATACACCTTGACCGCTAAGGTACTATTATACTCTCCTTTTTATGGTATATGTTGGTGGAAAAATCTTATATAAAAGGAATTATCAATCTATTAAAGTAATTATCATCCGATGTACCAATGTTCACTTTCCTGAATAAAGTTCTTTAGAATTTTCAATCATTGTTCATGGGCGATATAATATCGGGAATAGCATCCCTGCTAAGATAGAAATCACCTTGGTAACCTCTAATATTTCTTAAAGAGACTCTCAAAATCTTGTAGAGTTACACAAGTTGTTGCACAGTTCTGTGTATTGTCGAAACTTTTGTTAAACTTCCATCACCTTTTATTCCCAACATTACCAGAAGACCGATATTTGTAGAGCTACGGATTAATTTCTTTCTGTTCCTGCATACACTGAATTATACCTAAATTTGGCAAAACTTACTTTATATCGTCCATAACATTTTAGTTAATTTGGTCCTATACATCGCTTTTAAGGGGGTCCATGAAGCAAGATTTTTTTTACAAGAAAATTTGCGCAAACATGTTGAACTTTCACTTTTGCAGAGAGTAATTGCAGAGAGTAAGAGTAATTGCTGATGTTGTTGTAATTAGGGCTCGATTAACTGTTAATAGTTTTCCAACTGAATCTAATGGAATAGTTTTCTAGCTGAACTAATGAGGAGACATTTAAAGGAGATCTCTTGGAGGCAAGTTAAATCTTCCTTAGAAAATTTGCACAAACATGTTGAACTTTCACTTTTGCAGCAGCAAGAGTAATTTTTGATGTTGTTGTAACTAGGGCCCGATAAACCATTAATAGTTTGCTAACTTAACTGATGAGCAGACATTTAAAGAAGATCTCTTGGAGACAAGTTCCATCCTCTATATACAGACTCCGGACTGCCACATTGGAGTCTTGCATCGGGAATTTTGATCGCCTAGCAAACATATATAAACTGTGTTGCTATTTATATTATATATTGGTTATTGAAAATGGGAGCACCAAGTTCGATAAGACCAGTTGGTGCGTTTGCCATTGGGGCAGGGTAAATCGCTACCAATGCCATCAATTTGTATAAAGCGATCATATTCTGACCTGTCAAGCATTCAGTAAAAGATTTATGATATTACAAATTTCGTTTTTAATTGATCTAAAATCATTTCATATAGTTTAACGAAATTTCTTTAAAATACCCTCTGGACTACATTTACACCGCTTTAGTAATATGTTATGGCCTATGTGGTATATAGTTTCCGGTTTCAAAACTGATTCTAAAGAATTTAATCTATAACAAAAAATGATTTATAACAACTCAAAGCATTCTGCAACTTTCTTAGATAATATTGACTGACGAAGGTACGTGACACTATTTATGGTGGAAATATCCCGAAAAATCCGCCTCTAAATATCTACCTTTAATGCATATGTATAAAAACAAAGACCTTGAATTAAAAAATCATAAATTTTTGTTCAAACGATTAAAAGAAAATCGATAATTCTAACACAAACAATCCTTAACAGCAATCCATACTAGAGTGATAAGTTTAAACGAAAAGAAATTGCAAAATTTAATCTCAAAAAGTAATAAATTCCACTTAAAATACGCGTCAATACAAAAAGATTACAGACTCATTCATGTCGGAAAAAAAAACTAATCGGTATTTAGTTTTATCACCGCGTTGATAAGCTATACACAATCATTAGTTTTTTTTCTTCTTTCTGGTTTTTGTTATAGTTGAAAGGTGTTAAAGGTTTTTATCGCACGCTTGTCGTTTCGTTCGCTCGTCAAGATAAAGCCACAATCTGCGTAATCACTGCCGCCTGAACAGTGGTACACAGTACAACCAACAATATTCACAGAAAATTTTAATAATGTCGAGATAAAAACGAAACGAAATATATTTAAAAATGTATTTAGTTCAGTTACTGTTTTGTCAAAGTGTCATTTTTAAAATGTTTAAACAAATGCAATATCATACTCATATGAAAGAGTAAACAATTACAAATTCCCACGTTAAAATCAACAAAATATTTGTTTTATAAAAAGATAAAAAACTGTTAGATAAATTTATTTATTTACATTTAATCATTTACTGACTTCAATGACTTTGCAAAAACGTTAGATTCTTCCTTACAAGTGACAAGACAAGTGTTTACTTAGTTGAGGCAAATAAATATACTGTATATGAAATGATTTGGTTTACACAACTAAATTGCTGTTAAAGTAATTTAATCCCATATATTTTTATGCAAAATATTAATTGCTACAAGCAAAAACTTTAGTTAATACAATTCCATTGTTGGATTAGCTTAGTTGTTACAACCAAATTACTTTTTTTCTCTAGTCATTCTTCAGACATTCTGTCAATATTCCAACCATTTTATGTAAAACTTTCTTGTGTTGTAGTATTTACGACATGCTGTTGCTAATTTATCAATGGTTGTTATCGTCAAATCAATTAATTAAAACGCGTGTCAATATTAATCAATTAATTGATATAATACATGTATATTTTACAATTATATAATGTCAATAAGTTAATAAGTTAGAACAACTATATAATCTTGTAGACACAAACAGTAGAATTTAGTTTTAGCTGGTCGAAATTTAAATATTCAATGGTTCTCAATAGGGAATTTTGAAAACAAATTTAAGGCAAATGATTCATGTCTCTTTAGTTAGGACTACCAGTCCAGTTGTTAGCCTACATTATAGTCTAGTCTGTAGTCTTAACTGCAGTTCAATATCCCCCAATCTCGTAGAACCAAACAGTAGAATTTAGTTTTAGCTGGTCGAAATTTAAATGTTAAAACATTCAATGGTTCTCAATAGGAAATTTTGAAAACAAATCTAAGGCAAATCATTAATGTCTCTTTAGTTAGGACAGTTGTTAGCCTACACTATAGTCTAGTCTGTAGTCTTCATTGCAGTTCAATATCTCCCAATCTCGTCTAGAATATAGTTTAGCAGACAGTAGCATTTAGTCCAGATATTGGTCTAGTCTATAGTCTAGTCTATAGTCGAGTCTATAGTCCAGTCTATAGTCTAGTCTATAGTCTAGTCTATAGTCTAGTCTATAGTCTAGTCTATAGTCGAGTCTATAGTCCAGTCTATAGTCTAGTCTAGTAGTCTAGTCTATAGTCTAGTCTAGTCTAGTCTATAGTCTAGTCTATAGTCTAGTCTATAGTCTAGTCTATAGTCTAGTCTATAGTCTAGTCTATAGTCTAGTCTATAGTCTAGTCTATAGTCTAGTCTATAGTCTAGTCTATAGTCTAGTCTATTCTAGTCTATAGTCTAGTCTATAGTCTAGTCTATAGTCTAGTCTATAGTCTAGTCTATAGTCTAGTCTATAGTCTAGTCTATAGTCTAGTCTATAGTCTAGTCTATAGTCTAGTCTATAGTCTAGTCTATAGTCTAGTCTATAGTCTAGTCTATAGTCTAGTCTATTAGTCTAGTCTAGTCTATAGTCTAGTCTATAGTCTAGTCTATAGTCTAGTCCTATAGTCTAGTCTATAGTCTAGTCTATAGTCTAGTCTATAGTCTAGTCTATAGTCTAGTCTATAGTCTAGTCTATAGTCTAGTCTATAGTCTAGTCTATAGTCTAGTCTATAGTCTAGTCTATAGTCTAGTCTATAGTCTAGTCTATAGTCTAGTCTATAGTCTAGTCTATAGTCTAGTCTATAGTCTAGTCTATAGTCTAGTCTATAGTCTAGTCTATAGTCTAGTCTATAGTCTAGTCTATAGTCTAGTCTATAGTCTAGTCTATAGTCTAGTCTAGTCTATAGTCTAGTCTATAGTCTAGTCTATAGTCTAGTCTATAGTCTAGTCTATAGTCTAGTCTATAGTCTAGTCTATAGTCTAGTCTATAGTCTAGTCTATAGTCTAGTCTATAGTCTAGTCTATAGTCTAGTCTATAGTCTAGTCTATAGTCTAGTCTATAGTCTAGTCTATAGTCTAGTCTATAGTCTAGTCTATAGTCTAGTCTATAGTCTAGTCTATAGTCTAGTCTATAGTCTAGTCTATAGTCTAGTCTATAGTCTAGTCTATAGTCTAGTCTATAGTCTAGACTAGTCTATAGTCTAGTCTATAGTCAAGTCTATAGTCTAGTCTATAGTCTAGTCTATAGTCTAGTCTAGTCTAGTCTATAGTCAAGTCTATAGTCTAGTCTATAGTCTAGTCTATAGTCTAGTCTATAGTCTAGTCTATAGTCTAGTCTATAGTCTAGTCTATAGTCTATAGTCTAGTCTATAGTCTAGTCTATAGTCTCGTCTATAGTCTAGTCTATAGTCTAGTCTATAGTCTCGTCTATAGTCTAGTCTATAGTCTAGTCTATAGTCTAGTCTATAGTCTAGTCTATAGTCTAGTCTATAGTCTAGTCTAGTCTATAGTCTAGTCTAGTCTATAATCTAGTCTATAGTCTAGTCTATAGTCTAGTCTATAGTCTAGTCTATAGTCTAGTCTATAGTCTAGTCTATAGTCTAGTCTATAGTCTAGTCTATAGTCTAGTCTATAGTCTAGTCTATAGTCTAGTCTATAGTCTAGTCTATAGTCTAGTCTATAGTCTAGTCTATAGTCTAGTCTATAGTCTAGTCTATAGTCTAGTCTATAGTCTAGTCTATAGTCTAGTCTATAGTCTAGTCTATAGTCTAGTCTAGTCTAGTCTATAGTCTAGTCTATAGTCTAGTCTATAGTCTAGTCTATAGTCTAGTCTATAGTCTAGTCTATAGTCTAGTCTATAGTCTAGTCTATAGTCTAGTCTATAGTCTAGTCTATAGTCTAGTCTATAGTCTAGTCTATAGTCTAGTCTATAGTCTAGTCTATAGTCTCTATAGTCTAGTCTATAGTCTAGTCTATAGTCTAGTCTATAGTCTAGTCTATAGTTTAGTCTTTAGTCTAGTCTAGTCTAGTCTATAGTCTAGTCTATAGTCTAGTCTATAGTCTAGTCTATAGTCTAGTCTATAGTCTAGTCTATAGTCTAGTCTATAGTCTAGTCTATAGTCTAGTCTATAGTCTAGTCTATAGTCTAGTCTATAGTCTAGTCTATAGTCTAGTCTATAGTCTAGTCTATAGTCTAGTCTATAGTCTAGTCTATAGTCTAGTCTATCGTCTAGTCTATAGTTTAGTCTTGTACAGGTAGGATAGTTTGACAAAGCGACAATCTGGTAGCTAGTTCCAGTAAACGTATATCAAAACTCTTACAATATAAAAACTAGGTATAAATTTTGTATAATTTTTTACTAAAACCCCAAACATCTTTCACAATTCGCTATTCTACTGTATGCAATCTGAAAAAAAACGCTATATCAGACACTTAATCAAATATTATCAGCAACAAAAACAATAATAATAAAAAATATTGCTAAAGTTGTTGACATATTTATTGTTCCGATGTCCTGTTTTAAAAATAAAGATGATAAAATGACAAAGCAATCTAAATGGTTTATCGGTGATAAATAAAAAAGGCAGAACTTATTTCGATAGTCATTTGACACATGTTTTCACTAATTCATTTGTCAAATAGAGTCATTAAATTTAACTATAACTAAAATTTATTACGCAGTGCACTCCCAATTTCAACTGATAATCTTTGGTATTGCGCGAAAACGAATGATTATCGTAAACTTATCCTATTTTATTCATTATTTATTACTTTTCGTTTTTTTGTTTACATGTTATAGCTATTTAAAACGCAAAAAAAAGATATATTAATATTGAATTTTATTAATAAAAGATTAGATCTTTTTATAGAATAAATAAAAGAAATTGCTCTTCATAATAGATTATTTTATCAATGGTTTATATTTTCAGCTTTTGCGTTTTTATTCGCTGTAAATTAATAAAAATATTTTTACTAGATAAAACTATAGACGTTAATTTCTTAGAATAGAATTAATTGCAATTAAATAATACTTTAAAATAAGTATTGCCAACATTATGAAAATATCATCGCTATCGTTGAAAATTTCAAGAAAATTTGCCTGTCTCTCTTTTTTTACTGATTTTCTTTACGTTTATCATAAAACGTTAATGAATATTTGTCTTAATTTTCGAGAAAGTTCACCTCTTTTTGCGGGAAAATCTCGGAATAAATAATACTAAATCTTACTCTCTTTCATTATAGGACATAAGTCTGAAAATGGCACAACTCCGGAGACTACAGCAACTGAGACAGTTGCTGAAAGTACTCCTCCAGTTATTCTCAGTGCTAAAGTAGATGATGATATGGCTACCGACAAATCCCTAAAAACAGTTGAACCCCAAAATGTTGCCGAAGCTGAAGGACAAGTTAAGGTAAAGAGATAATAACAAACAAACTCGTAATCGATTATTAATATAATTCATTCACAGAAATTACCTTATCCCAAATCAGTTTTCTTTATTATCAGTAATGAATTTTGCGAGCGTTTCAACTACTATGGCATGAGAAGTAAGTCTTTCTTAAGCTCAACATAAAATCCTCTTTTCTAAATTTAACTCCAATTACTCTGACTTACAGCTATCCTGGTTTTATATCTAAGTCGTCAATTAAATTACAGTGATGATACCGCCACCGTTATTTTCCATATCTTTACTATGTTTGTGTATTTCTTGTGTATTTTCGGCGCCATTATTTCGGACAGTTGGTTGGGTAAATTTAAAACGATTCTGTATCTTTCTTTGGTCTATGTTTGCGGTTCCGTTTTGATTACTTTGGGTGCTATACCGCCTTTGAATTTGCCGGCAACTACGTTTACCATGATTGGCCTGTCGCTGATAGCGCTGGGTTCTGGTGGTATAAAACCTTGTGTCTCGGCTTTTGGTGGTGATCAATTTAAGTTGCCCGAACAGATCAAACAAATGACTACATTCTTTTCGTTGTTCTATTTCTCCATCAATGCTGGTTCATTGATTTCGACAACGGTTACACCCATTTTGCGTGAGGATGTTCATTGTTTCGGACAAAAGGAATGTTATTCATTGGCCTTTGGTGTTCCAGCTGTATTGATGGCAGTGTCTATTGGTAAGTTAATTAATTAGTAGACGATTATAGGATTTTTTTAATATAAATAATATTTCAGTTGTTTTCGTGTTGGGTAAACCTTTGTACAAGAGCAAACCTCCAGCAGGCAATATGGTGGTGTTGGTCAGCAAAACTATTGGTGTAAGTATTGATAAAAGATTTTTGTGGACCAAGAGCTTTTAATTTATTTTGCTTTCATTTTCAGAACGCTATTTCCACTAGATGGCATGAAAAGAAAACTAATCCCCGTGAACATTGGTTGGACTATGCCGATAAGAAATACGACAGACAATTGATTGAAGATGTTAAGGTTTTGATGCGTGTCTTGGTTTTGTACTTGCCTTTGCCTATTTTCTGGGCTTTGTTCGATCAACAAGGTTCTCGTTGGACTTTCCAAGCTACTCGTATGGATGGTGATATGGGCTCTTGGGATATTAAACCCGATCAATTACAAGTGTTGAATCCTCTATTGATTTTGGTGTTTATTCCTTTGTATGATGTTGCTTTCTATCCGGCTTTGAGTTTGATTGGTATTCGTCGTCCTTTGCAAAAATTGACTTTGGGTGGTATTTTGGCTGGTGTTGCCTTTATCATCTCTGGTGTTGTTGAATTGAATTTGGAGGTAAGTGTAGTTTAGGAATATTCCTACTGTTTAAGTAATTTAAGTTTAGAAAAGTTTCCAAACTGCAGTCATTTTATAATTTTGCGTTTAAACATTTGAAATTAAGAGTGGTGATGGATTCGTCTTAAACCGGCATATTAATTTTTACCCGATATAACACATATACACACACATATGATCCTTACACCCACATTTATCATCTCGGAATCCAGACTACTCTTTTGAGAGTTTTATACTAGACTAGTCTGTGGACTAAACAATGATCTAGTCTTTGGACTCATATATGTATATTCCAGTATGTAAATTGATATATGGAGTAGTTTGTGGTCTAGCCCATGGAGTCATCAATAGAATAAAATATTGACTAGCCTGTGATCTAGACTACGCTATAGACTAGTCTGTGAACTTGTCCATTGATTAGTACGTCGACTATTGAATGGTCTATGGACTTGTATGTGGACTACTCTATTTACAAATCTGCGGACTAGTTTGTGTAACAGTCTGTCACTGGTATGTCTACGATCGTTAGACTTTAAAATAATACTGATTTTTCCATCTCTCCATCTTTCTCCCATATCTCATTTCATTTAATCTGTAATATTTATTAACATTCTCCATTTTATAACTGAAAATTACTCTCTAAATTCTTTCTTTCGCTAACAAAATTTACTCTAACCTCTATTTCGACCTCTCTCTCTCTTTCTTCTTAAACTATTTAGAAAACCTATCCCACCTTACCCACACCCTATACAGCTCAACTACGTATTTTTAATGGTGAAAATTGTGCCTATACGTTCAATTCAAACTTGCCCGGTTTGAATACGATCAATCTTAATGCCTATGCTTATTATGAAAACAAAAATATTCCCGTTACCACTGGACGTTTTAATATTGAATATAGGTTGACCAGCAATGATCCTAGTTGCTTTAGCTTTCCTGCCGGTTCCTATCAAATCGTCGACAATGAAGCTCATTCATTGTTTTTGAGTTCGAAAAATACCACTCATCCTTTGAGTTGGTTTGAGGATTACGTTAACAAACCCTCCAGAGGCAGTCCTTTGGGTAGAACTTTAAGTAATGTGCAACCCGGTCGTAATATTGTCTGGAAGATGGCCAAAAAAGATGCTATCGATCATCAGGAACCTGCCTATTTACACAATTTGACAGAATTCTCTGCTGGTGATTATAAGATCTTTGTGGATAATGTTCAGGTTACTCAGACTACTTTGAAGACTGGTGGTGTTTATACCATACTCATCAACGAAATTAATGCTCAATCTTATGATTTTAAAGTTATTGAAATTACCGAACCCAACTCCATGAATATTCTTTGGCTGATACCTCAATATGTGGTCATGACTTTGGGTGAAGTTATGTTTTCGGTTACCGGTTTAGAATTCTCCTATTCACAAGCTCCACTTGCCATGAAATCCGTATTACAAGCCTGCTGGTTATTAACCGTGGCCATTGGTAATGTTATTGTGGTTATTATTGCTGAGTTGGCCCTATTCGATTCTCAGGCCAGTGAGTTCTTCCTCTTTGCTGGTCTCATGTTTGCCGATATGTTGCTGTTTATGTACATGGCTTATCGTTATAAGCCCAACAATCCTATGGCCACCTCAGAGGATACACCCTTGACTAAGGATAGTGAAGTAGATCCTAAACATGAACTTAAACAATTGGAGGGTATAGATAATAAGGCTGCTACAATTGATGAATAAGGAGGCATACTAATGACAAAATTTCATTTTATGAATAATTTAGTACTTAAGTACAATTTTAAAGATTCTAATTTTCAAGAGTCTTAAAATTGAGCGGTATTAGTAAAATTTCTGTTAAGTTTTTTTATATGTATATGTAATTTAAATTTATTGTTTAATGTCCTTGATGGATGGTAAATTTCAAAAAAAAAAAAAAGATAATTAAAACAAAAATAGTATTAAAAAAATTTAAGTTGAGTTTTATTAAGGAAGTTTGTGATCATTTTTAAATTAAAAATTAGAAAACATAGTACGTATATTTGATCGGGAGTAGTTCCTTAAGTAGTAGTAAAAATTGTCTTTATTGCAATTTTTCAACATTGCATTTATTTTTCATTAAAATATATAGCAGTTACTGTTTTTTAGACCAATAAATAAGTCAATATAAATAAGACAAAATAATGAAAACCATGTGATCGTTTTAATATTTTGCTTCAGATCGATAATGAATTAAAAAAAATAATAAAATTCGGTGATCACTCATATTTTTCAAAATATCTTCCTTATGTAGAAAACATTAAATCGGTTGTAAATCCTTAATTAACGCTTAATTAACTAGTCTGTGGTTTGATCTATTGACTAATCCTTAGACTAGACTATGGACTAATCTATAAATGTTTGTATAGACTATGAAAAAGGCTAGAACTAGTCTATGTGTGTACTATATATATAGTATATTGACTCTATATTGTACAGTCTATTGAATAATATATAATCTGTACTAATTTATGGACTAGTATATGAACTAGGCTATGGAGAAGTCCATTTTCCAGTCTATTGACTAATCCATGGACTAGTCCATAGATATATCTATTGACTAGTCTATGAACTGGTCTTTTGACTAGTCTATGTCTGATATATTGACCAGTTATATGGATTAATCTATTAACTAGTCTTTAGACAGTGAACTAGGTTATTAACCTATGATCCTAGGATTTGTATATTGATTAGTCTCTTGACTGGATTATTAATTAGTATGGACTTGTCTATTGTCTAGTCTATGGTGTGATCTGTTGACTAAGTCTATGAACTAATTTTTATACTGGACAATATAATAATCTACGAACTAGTCTTTGTGCTAACTAGTCTATGAATCAGGCTAGTCTCTAGACAATTATGTGTACAAGTATATGGGCAAGTCTATTGACTAGTCTATGGACTAGTAGTGAATTTTATATTGGAGTCTATTGAATGGTCTACGGTCTTGTCTACTGAGACTAGTCAGTGTATTGAACTATGTACTAATATATGAACTAAATAGTCTATGAAGTAAACTATGGAACACTATATGAAACGGTATATGGAATAGCTCTACGACTAGTTTATGACCAGTCTGTGGACTAGTCTATTGGCTAGTCTATGGAATACTAGGTATATGGACTTATATATTTAGGGCGGGTTTCTTACTCCTTAGTTAAACTAGGCTTAACTTGCTGTTAGATTAAACTCGGAACAAATTTAGGCGGACTTTAACCGATGATTGTGTTTTTCAGTTTTAGATTTAAGCTCAGTTAACTTTGTTAGTATTGCCAAGTTTTTACTCAAAAACATAAACAATGAACAGCTGTTTTTTGCAAACAATACTTTTGTAAAATAGAAAATTTTGGAAAAATGTTAAATAAACATTTAAAACAATAATAAATAAAACAAAACAGATCAGAAAATTGCAATTTACTTAAAATATTAAGTTTTTGTTCTTCCGAAATCATTGTTTTATTGTTTTTGTTAATTGTGTTTTCTCACTTATAACTTGAGTTTAATTGGCCAATTACACTCAGTTAAACTAAGATAATATGTAACTTTACTGATAACTGAAAACACGAAACATATAATAAACCAGGTTTAACCAAAGAATGAAGATTATCTTTATCAGAAAAACTCGCCCTTAGTGTAATAATTTAACTTTTCACTTGTATATGGCTGAAGATTTGAAAAAAAAAAATCTTAACAAAAATACAAATATCACAATATTTGGCACATTTATATGACTCTCCCAACAACAGGGTGTAGAGTATAAAATAAATAATGACATTTTTTGTCCACTGACTTAGTAACGCTCAGCTTAATTGGTTTACTATGGATGCATGTATACACAACGTTAAATCAACTCGAAAAACAATTATGAGCCAATTGGCAACAATTCTCCCCACACCCCACTGAAGCATAACATGTTTGCTCAATGATTATGCCAATAATCGACTAGCAGCCGGACTGTTGGCAAATAGATTTTCGGCATTAAGCAAACATTAATTTTAGTTGTAAACATTGAGCCACACTCTTAACATTTTACTTAGGATATAATTAAAATATAAACAATAACATATTACTTACAGAATTAGTATCTGCTTTATCCAATCAATCAGTTGTTTTGTTTTATTTTTACAAAAAAAAAAAAACTTAACACTTTTTCCAGGAGAAACTGAGGAGAAGCGCACTATAAATTTGTTAACACTTTTTATTGCAACTTCTTTTTATGTATTATACTTTTAATTTGTTAAATAAATATTTACAATTAATTATTTTATGACTTTACTAACACATTTTCTTATTCACTATTTAATTTACACTTTAATTTATTTAATTTTAATCCAACTTGTCATCTTTGTAAATATTTACACACTGTTTGATGCTTGCAATTGAACTTTGGAATTTGTAGAAACAGTTATACATACTACTATTCTTCTTCTTCTTCCTCCTCTTTTTCTCAATGAAACCAAAACAATAACAAATGACGTCACAATGCGAAAAGTGATTGATGTTTAGGAAAAAGTATGTGAGAGATGCATAAATATGTACATATTTGTGTATATGTGTGTACGTTTGTACAAATTTAACTCTCTTTATTAAATGAGTACTACTGCAATTGTTGTTGCTTGTTGCTTTTTGTTATTCAAATAAATATTATGACGTCACATATAAATAGGAATAGGCAGGTTTGGAAATTTTTGGTTTTCAAATAGAACACTAGACTAGTTCATACCCTTTAGAATAGTCTATGGAATATTGGAAACTCTATGGACTAGTCTATGCATTAGTCTACGAACTAGTCAATATAATAATCTACAAACTGTTTACTAGAGTATGTCCTAGTCAATTTACTAATCTATGGACAAGTCTATAGACTAGGATTAGTCTATTGACTAGTTTAAGGACTAGTCCATAGAATAGTCAATGAACCAGACCATTGACTTATCTATGGACTAGTCTACAATAGATTAATAGGTCTAATGAACAATATTAACTAGTTTATAGACTAGTTTATGGATTAGTCTATTGACTAGTCCATGGAGAAGTGTACTGAAGTCCATGTTATATTGTATTGTAGTCCATGAACTAGTGTACTGTCTCACGTACTAATTAGTCTACTGAATGGTTAATGGTCTAGAGTATTGAGTAGTCTATGCACTTGTCTGTTGACTACTCTAGTCTAAGGACTTGACTATTGATTAGTCTATACACAAGTCTGTTGACCATTCTCTGGTTTAGTATATTGTCAAGTTAATCAAATAGTCAATCTTTGCACTGGCCTACTGTGAATTAGTCTATTGAACATTTTATGGAGTAGTCTGTAGGTTAGTCTATTGACTAGTCTATTGGATAATGTATAATCTATGGTCCAGTCTATTTACTAATCTATGCATTAGTCTACTGACTAGTCTATGAATTATTCTATTGACTAATTCATGAACTTGTCTGTGAAGTAATCTATTGAATAGTCAATGGAATAATCTATTGACTAGTATATGGTAAGTTAACTAGTCACTATACTATTCTATGGTTTAATATATTACATAATTAACGGATTAGTGCATTTACTAGTTTATAGTTAAGTCTATTAGCCAGTTTATGGACTTGTCCATTATGGACTAGTTCAGTAACTAGTCTATAAACTTATCAATGTCATAATCTACTGACTATATTATGGACTATTCCATTGGCCAGTCTAGAGTATGGATTAGTCTACTGACTAGTTTAAAACAGGCCCAAAAGCTTCCTATGAAAACATATTTATCGATTTACATTTGAAAGATAACATAAATTTTCTTTCAGAAAACCTATCCTGAACTTCCTCAACCCGGTTTTGTTCAGTTGAGAATATTTAACGGTGTACCTGGCTGTCAGTACACTATCCACACCAATAATCAGCAAATACCAGAAATTACTTTAAAAGGCATAGATTATTGGTCAAATAAATATATCCAAGTGGAACATGAAAAGCTGTCCGTAACTTACACTATCACAGCAGACAAAAAAGGTAATCTAAAAATACTAAAAACAAATAAACAAATTTTACTCTAAAAAACAAAATCCTTTTCCAGATTGTCCCAAATTCGAGGCAGGCACCTATATATTCAACGAAACCACTGCCTATAGTATATTTCTACAAAGTGCTTATCCTGATCAGAACATACAAATTTATAAGGAGCAATTGGAAAAATCCTCCAAAGCCACACCATTAGTGAGAAATTTAGCTAATTTAGATAAAAATCGCAAAATCATATGGCGTGTTAGTAAATCGGGAGATGTGGAATCAACACAACCGGCAAACTATAGAAAAATTATCGAGTTAAGAGCCACTACTTATGAAGTTCTAGTGGACAATGTTAAGGTACACGAAGAGAAATTAAGACATGGTGGAGTTTACTCCTTGATTATAGGCCGACAAGCAAATGAAGATATAGTTACCAAAATCATCGAAGTAACCGAACCCAATTCCATGAGTATTTTATGGTTAATACCACAATATGTGGTCATGACTTTAGGTGAGGTTATGTTTTCGGTAACGGGTTTGGAATTTTCCTATTCCCAGTCGCCGGTTACCATGAAATCTGTGCTACAGGCCTGTTGGCTACTAACAGTTGCCTTTGGTAATGTTTTTGTGGTGATTGTGGCAGAATTGAAATTTTTCAAATCTCAAGCTAATGAATTTTTCCTATTCGCTGGTCTTATGTTTGTCGATATGGTTCTGTTTATGTGGATGGCTTATCGTTATAAACCCAATAATCCCATACCGGGTTCATTGCCACCGAAAGAGTTAGAGCAGCCCTGCCGATCAGCCGATAATACAATAATAGTTAGAGGTAATCATCAGCAGCCTCAGGTAGCAGCTGCAGATCAAGTTCAAACAGTGCATTTACGTCAAGCGCGTTATACGAAAAGACAAGTCGATTGATTAATATTAATTGTGTATATTTTTTATGTAATAAATGTTTATATTTTTAGTTTTCCAAATAAAAAATGTGTTTTAATTTTAATTTATAACATTTTTCGTACTAAAGAGGTTTAAGTGAGTTAGTTGCATAGCTTTTTATTAGAAATTTGAATAATTCAGTAGGTAATGGATTTTCTACTAAGAATCACATAAGATTTGCTTAAAGTAATAATCAGGATCAGTATTCTTCTGTAAGGGTCAACTCTAAGAACACAAATAACGCGAGAGATAAAATTGTTTTAATTCAGATCTAATTCAGTTCTAGTTCGGTTCTCGGTCTGTTCAGTTCTAGTTCAGTCTAGGTCTAGTTCAGTTCAGTTCAGTTCTAGTCAGTTCTAGTTCAGTCTATTCAGTTCATTCACAGTTCTATTCAGTTTTTCGTTCTAGTTCATTCTAGTTCCGTTCTATTCAGTTCTAGTTCAGTTCTAGTTCAAGTTCGTTCTAGTTCATTTCTAGTTTTCTATTCAGTTCTAATCAGTTTCTGAGTTAGGTTCTAGTTCAGTTCTAGTAGTTCTCTAGTTCATTCTAGTCTTTTAGTTCAGTTCTAGTTCAGTTCTAGTTCAGTTCTAGTTCAGTTTAATTTCAGTTCTAATTCAGTTCTAGTTCAGTTCTAGTTCAGTTCTAGTTCAGTTCTAGTTCAGTTCTAGTTCAGTTCTAGTTCAGTTCTAGTTCAGTTCTAGTTCAGTTCTAGTTCAGTTCTAGTTCAGTTCTAGTTCAGTTCTAGTTCAGTTCTAGTTCAGTTCTAGTTCAGTTCTAGTTCAGTTCTAGTTCAGTTCTAGTTCAGTTCTAGTTCAGTTCTAGTTCAGTTCTAGTTCAGTTCTAGTTCAGTTCTAGTTCAGTTCTAGTTCAGTTCTAGTTCAGTTCTAGTTCAGTTCTAGTTCAGTTCTAGTTCAGTTCTAGTTCAGTTCTAGTTCAGTTCTAGTTCAGTTCTAGTTCAGTTCTAGTTCAGTTCTAGTTCAGTTCTAGTTCAGTTCTAGTTCAGTTCTAGTTCAGTTCTAGTTCAGTTCTAGTTCAGTTCTAGTTCATTCTAGTTCAGTTCTAGTTCAGTTCTAGTTCAGTTCTAGTTCAGTTCTAGTTCAGTTCTAGTTCAGTTCTAGTTCTAGTTCAGTTCTAGTTCAGTTCTAGTTCTAGTTCAGTTCTAGTTCAGTTCTAGTTCAGTTCTAGTTCAGTTCTAGTTCAGTTCTAGTTCAGTTCTAGTTCAGTTCTAGTTCAGTTCTAGTTCAGTTCTAGTTCAGTTCTAGTTCAGTTCTAGTTCAGTTCTAGTTCAGTTCTAGTTCAGTTCTAGTTCAGTTCTAGTTCAGTTCTAGTTCAGTTCTAGTTCAGTTCTAGTTCAGTTCTAGTTCAGTTCTAGTTCAGTTCTAGTTCAGTTCTAGTTCAGTTCTAGTTCAGTTCTAGTTCAGTTCTAGTTCAGTTCTAGTTCAGTTCTAGTTCAGTTCTAGTTCAGTTCTAGTTCAGTTCTAGTTCAGTTCTAGTTCAGTTCTAGTTCAGTTCTAGTTCAGTTCTAGTTCAGTTCTAGTTCAGTTCTAGTTCAGTTCTAGTTCAGTTCTAGTTCAGTTCTAGTTCAGTTCTAGTTCAGTTCTAGTTCAGTTCTAGTTCAGTTCTAGTTCAGTTCTAGTTCAGTTCTAGTTCAGTTCTAGTTCAGTTCTAGTTCAGTTCTAGTTCAGTTCTAGTTCAGTTCTAGTTCAGTTCTAGTTCAGTTCTAGTTCAGTTCTAGTTCAGTTCTAGTTCAGTTCTAGTTCAGTTCTAGTTCAGTTCTAGTTCAGTTCTAGTTCAGTTCTAGTTCAGTTCTAGTTCAGTTCTAGTTCAGTTCTAGTTCAGTTCTAGTTCAGTTCTAGTTCAGTTCTAGTTCAGTTCTAGTTCAGTTCTAGTTCAGTTCTAGTTCAGTTCTAGTTCAGTTCTAGTTCAGTTCTAGTTCAGTTCTAGTTCAGTTCTAGTTCAGTTCTAGTTCAGTTCTAGTTCAGTTCTAGTTCAGTTCTAGTTCAGTTCTAGTTCAGTTCTAGTTCAGTTCTAGTTCAGTTCTAGTTCAGTTCTAGTTCAGTTCTAGTTCAGTTCTAGTTCAGTTCTAGTTCAGTTCTAGTTCAGTTCTAGTTCAGTTCTAGTTCAGTTCTAGTTCAGTTCTAGTTCAGTTCTAGTTCTAGTTCAGTTCTAGTTCAGTTCTAGTTCAGTTCTAGTTCTAGTTCAGTTCTAGTTCAGTTCTAGTTCAGTTCTAGTTCAGTTCTAGTTCAGTTCTAGTTCAGTTCTAGTTCAGTTCTTGTTTAGTTCTAGTTCAGTTCTAGTTCAGATCAAGTTTATTTTAGTTCAATAAATTATAATAAATGCTAGAAGAACTCCGTACATAAATTACTTTACTAATAATTTATTGACAATTGAAAACACTTACCGAACTTTTAATCCCAATCAATTCCAGATGATAAATGATGATGAATATGAATATAATGATTAGAAATAATGAAGATGGAGATATTCAATGTTTACACATCTTTGGAAAATTAAAAGAAATTATTAATGTTTTAGCAAAAAGTAATTACATTTAAATATACTTACCTTATCAATATGTAAATCCAATAATAATTTTCCTTCGACATAGAATAGATTATAAAGATTCTTGACACTTACCCCATTAACATGGTACTCTACAATTATAAAAAATTATTATAATAATTTTTTGGTTTCAATAAAATATTTGTCTTTTTTTTATTAAATTATAAATTACATACATACATATTAATTAAAATGAATAGAACAGTTAAGTATACAAAGTGTTTAAATTAAATTTAAGTCATATAATACCTACAATACAATTATGTTTTTTTTTTTTAATTAATAATAGAAAGTCCCAGTAAACAATCACACATTTAAAATAAAAACAAGAAAAGCTCAGCTCTTCTTGAAAATTAAAAATTAAATTTTGTAAGCGAAGAAATTATAAAAAATAAAACCTAACCAAAATATAAAACTTTTTACATAAAACATAAATTTAAAACATTTATACAAATAGAAGATAAAAAGTAGATAGATTATACATATAAACATAAGAAAACCCCAGAAAAATTGAATACATAAGGACTTAAAAAAATACGACCCCTTAAATAAAAAATGTATTTTAAACATATTTAAACAGAAACTAAGTTTTTGCATTACATTACAAATTTTGTTTAAGACTTCTCCATGAAAGGGGTCCTAATTCTAAACTTAAACTATAAAGCTGTATAATATTGGACATTATTCTTTTGAGACATTTTACAATTATTTTAATAATTCTTATTAAATAAACTTTACTCGTAATAGCGAAATTATTATTTTTTTTTTTCTTTTTCTATGGTAAATTAAGGCACAGCCTAATTTTTAGCTTAGCTTTTTATATTCCCTCTTTTTTACCCACTCATTATTGAACTTTCTTTATCATGTCACAGTTTCAGTTTCTATATAACCATTATGTATGTAACCCGTTGACGCTGAACCTTCTAGGGCGGGCGATTGTACCGTATAACCATTCGATTTTATTTTCTCTTCACTTTTATCGATAATTCTTTCAAATACTGCATCTAATTTACATTTATTAACGGCATAACGTATTGAACCCGATATTTGTTGTGACAAATCGTGTAATTCATGGAAGAGTTCGGAGAGTGTAAGTGCTGTGGGTGTTGAGGTAGTTGTAACGGTTGTTATAGGTTCCTGCTTATTTTCGAATTCTTCGGGAATTTCAATACCATTCTGGAAGAAAAAAATTTTAATTTTGAAAAGGATTTTTAAAATCTTCTTTTATAGAAAACTGTTCCAATGAAAGATTTTCTATAGAAAACTTTTCAATCGAAAGATTTTTTTATAGAAAACTTTTCAATCGAAAGATTTTTTTATAGAAAACTTTTCAATCGAAAGATTTTTTTATAGAAAACTTTTCAATCGAAAGATTTTCTATAGAAAACTTTTCAATCGAAAGATTTTCTATAGAAAACTTTTCAATCGAAAGATTTTCTATAGAAAACTTTTCAATCGAAAGATTTTCTACAGAAAACTTTTCAATCGAAAGATTTTCTATAGAAATCTTTTCAATCGAAAGATTTTCTATAGAAAACTTTTCAATCGAAAGATTTTCTATAGAAAACTTTTCAATCGAAATATTTTCTATTGAAAACTGTTCAATCGAAAGATTTTCTATAGAAAACTTTTCAATCGAAAGATTTTCTATAGAAAACTTTTCAATCGAAAGATTTTCTATAGAAAACTTTTCAATCGAAATATTTTCTATAGAAAACTTTTCAATCGAAATATTTTCTATAGAAAACTTTTGAATCGAAAGATTTTCTATAGAAAATTATTCGATTTCGAAAATTATTCAATCGAATAATTTTCTATAAAAAACTTTTCAATCGAATAATTTTCTATAGAAAACTTTTCAATCGAATAATTTTCTATAGAAAACTTTTCAATCGAATAATTTTCTATAGAAAACTTTTCAATCGAATAATTTTCTATAGAAAACTTTTCAATCGAATAATTTTCTATAGAAAACTTTTCAATCGAATAATTTTCTATAGAAAACTTTTCAATCGAATAATTTTCTATAGAAAACTTTTCAATCGAATAATTTTCTATAGAAAACTTTTCAATCGAATAATTTTCTATAGAAAACGTTTCAATCGAATAATTTTCTATAGAAAACTTTTCAATCGAAAGATTTTCTATAGAAAACTTTTCAATCGAATAATTTTCTATAGAAAACTTTTCAATCGAATAATTTTCTATAGAAAACTTTTCAATCGAATAATTTTCTATAGAAAACTTTTCAATCGAATTATTTTTTATAGAAAACTTTTCAATCGAAAGATTTTCTATAGAAAACTTTTCAAATCGAAAGATTTTCTATAGAAAACTTTTCAATTCGAAAGATTTTCTATAGAAAACTTTTCAATCGAAAGATTTTCTATAGAAAACTTTTCAATCGAATAATTTTCTATAGAAAACTTTTCAATCGAATAATTTTCTATAGAAAACTTTTCAATCGAAAGATTTTCTATAGAAAACTTTTCAATCGAAAGATTTTCTATAGAAAACTTTTCAATCGAAAGATTTTCTATTGATTCTCTACAGAAAAATTTTGTATTGAGAAATGTTCCATAGAAAACTGTTCTATCGAAAGATTTTTTCTGTGTCAACACAGAGATTTTATGATTCAATATCTTACCTCTTTAGCTTTATCACCATTATGAATCGGATTCTGAACTTTCAAACTAAACTTAATGGAATGAGCATAAAGTTGTAAATCTTTACAATCGGAAAATTTACGGCGTATTTCCTTTTCCAAATTATTAATCTTATCCTGATCACAATAGACAGTAACATTATAATAGCCACCATATTGAGCTTTCAAATTATCAGGACTACTGCAGGTTAACATTTGACCCTCTTTCAGCACGGCAATACGATGACATGTTTCATCAATTTCCGATATTGAATGAGAAGTTAAAACTATTGCTCTCTTTTCGGCCAACAAATCATCTATTGTACGATAAACAATTGCTCTGGTTACCGGATCCATATCACTGGTTGGTTCATCCATTAAAACCACAGAAGTGCGTCCACAACAAGAAGTAGCCACTGTTAATTTACGACGATTACCACCTGATAGATTTTTCACCAATACATCACGATACGTTTCCAGTTGAAAAGATTCCAAAATGCTGGCAACCAACTTAAATTTATTAAGGGAAATAGAAAACCATGGTAAATATATATATACATTTGTATCATGTAAAAAACTGTCAATATCGATTTGCTTTCAAAGATAAATTAAAAATTTCAAGTTCGTTTCGTTCGTCCAAAACTAAATTTTTTAATAAATATCCATTTAATTTAGAGAATTTGCCGCTTTTAATAAATTAAACCTAAAAGTCATGTCTAATATCTGTCAAGATTGTAATCGTTTGCAAATCAATCCTGTGGGCTCAGCACCAGAACGCCCTCTATTTCAACAACCCACAAAATACGATCACTATAAAAATTTTCAAAAATTCAAACAATCCAAAGAAGAAGAACAGTTCATTAATCAACGCAAAGAAGAACTTTTAAAATTTAATCCAAACTTTACGGACTTTCATCTAAATCGTATGCTAACGAAAGAAGAATTTGAACAGTTTAGCACCCAAGATATAGCGAAATTTCGCCAACAATTACGTTTGGGTAGTTGTGATCATAATTTGAATTCATTTGGTTGTATAGCAGCCAGAAGGGAAGAGCAAAATCCTAAAAATGTTGGGGAGGATGACGAAAATGATGGTAAATCTTTGCTAAAACGTAAATCTCTTCTCTCATTAACACGTACCCCGGTCCAATGCCCCATTAGTATTTGTAATCGTACGCTTGGTGTTACTTTTGTGTTGTCGCATTTTCTACGTGATCATAGTGAAGATTTTGGTGTACCTTGTCAAGAGATTTATGCCGGAAAACCTTCGGTTTTAATATTCGATCCGACGAATTCGGATTTTCATGAAAATGTTTGTTTGGGTATTTTGGCCTATGGCGGCTATGCGAATGACAGGTAAGAGGTTAAAGTTATCTAAAAAACACGTTTTTTTATAGAAAACTCGTCATTCAGAAGATTTCTAATAGAAAACTATTTAACTAAGAGATTTTCTATTGAAAATTTTTCCACCGAAAAATTGGATATAGAATGACAATTGAATGAATTTTCGATAGAAAACCGATCAATCGAAAGATTTTTCGATAGAAAACCGATCAATCGAAAGATTTTCCGATAGAAAACCGATCAATCGAAAGATTTTTCGATAGAAAACCAATCAATCGAAAGATTTTTCGATAGAAAACCGATCAATCGAAAGATTTTTCGATAGAAAACCGATCAATCGAAAGATTTTTCGATAGAAAACCGATCAATCGAAAGATTTTCTATAGAAAACTGTTCTATCGAAAGACTTTCTACAGAAAACTTTTCTATCGAAAGATTTTCTATAGAAAACTTTTCTATCGAAAGATTTTCTATAGAAAACTATTCAATCGAAAGATTTTCTATAGAAAGCTATTCAATCGAAAGATTTTCTATAGAAAACTATTCAATCGAAAGATTTTCTATAGAAAACTATTCAATCGAAAGGTTTTCTATAGAAAACTATTCAATCAAAGGATTTTCTGTAGAAAACTATTCAATCGAAAGATTTTCTATAGAAAACTATTCAATCGAAAGATTTTCTATAGAAAACTATTCAATCGAAAGATTTTCTATAGAAAACTATTCAATCGAAAGATTTTCTATAGAAAACTGTTCTATCGAAAGATTTTCAATAGAAAACTGTTCTATCGAAAGATTTTCTATAGAAAACTGTTCTATCGAAAGATTTTCTATAGAAAACTGTTCTATCGAAAGATTTTCTATAGAAAACTGTTCTATCGAAAGATTTTCTATAGAAAAATGTTCTATCGAACGATTTTCTATAGAAAACTGTTCTATCGAAAGATTTTCTATAGAAAACTGTTCTATCGAAAGATTTTCTATAGAAAACTGTTCTATCGAAAGATTTTCTATAGAAAAATGTTCTATCGAAAGATTTTCTATAGAAAACTGTTCAATCGAAAGATTTTCTATAGAAAACTTTTCAATCGAAAGATTTTCTATAGAAAACTGTTCTATCGAAAGATTTTCTATAGAAAACTTTTCTATCGAAAGATTTTCTATAGAAAACGTTTCTATCGAAAGATTTTCTATAGAAAAATGTTCTATCGAAAGATTTTCTATAGAAAACTGTTCTATCGAAAGATTTTCTATAGAAAACTGTTCTATCGAAAGATTATCTATAGAAAACTGTTCTATCGAAAGATTTTCTATAGAAAACTGTTCTATCGAAAGATTTTCTATAGAAAACTGTTCTATCGAACGATTTTCTATAGAAAACTGTTCTATCGAAAGATTTTCTATAGGAAACTGTTCTATCGAAAGATTTTCTATAGAAAACTATTCAATCGAAAGATTTTCTATAGTAAACTATTCAATCGAAAGATTTTCTATAGAAAACTATTCAATCGAAAGATTTTCTATAGAAAACTATTCAATCGAAAAATTTTCTATAGAAAACTATTCAATCGAAAGATTTTCTATAGAAAACTATTCAATCGAAAGATTTTCTATAGAAAACTATTCAATCGAAAGATTTTCTATATAAAACTTTTCAATCGAAAGATTTTCTATAGATAACTTGACAATCGAAAGTTTTTTTTTTATAGAAAACTTGTCAATTTCGAGAGATTTCCTAAAGAAGAATCTGTTATTGCAGAATCTTCTTTTGAAAAATTAATTTTAGAAAAATCTTTTAACAATTTTCTGAAGAAATCTCTCCTCTATCAAAAGATTTTTTAACCAAAACTTTCCTATCAAAAGATTTTCTATACAAAACTTTTCTCTCGAAAGATTTTTTATAAGAAAGTATTCTATTGTAAGTTTCACTATAGAAAACTCTTCTATCGTTTGATTTCCTATAGAAAATCGATGTCTTAAAGATGACCCCAAAATTCACTTATTGCAACCTAACCACCTAATTGTCACAATTTTCTTCACTTCCAGTTCTTCGCGACCCACGGAAAGAGGTCTCTGTATAAATAATGCCTTTTTACCCAAACCCTACGAACATTTAACTTCCCATCTACCCATTCTCATAATGGCCTGTCGCACCTCTTGGTCAACGCTGTTGGGTAATAAAGAAAAACTTAAAGGCAATATTCACAATCCGAATTCTTTAAAACAAGAACTTTTAGTACTTTGGTTGGCTAGTGTACAGACGGTAAAACCTATATATTGTACGGTTACAGTGTACGATAAGGAAATGGAGTCATCACTCAGTTCGATAATGCAAATACGAGATTTAAATGATGACCAAAATCCGGCAGAATTTATGAGAAAGGAAAAAAATTTTATGCGTTTATCTCATGGAAAAATAACTACACTCTCACATAGTCTTATAGAGTGTATTCACATGGAAATACTGATTAATGAATTTTAATAAAGAAATTGTCAATTTGAAATAAATATTTTGAAAGAAAGAAAGAAATTACCTTGGGTATATTGGTAATACGTCTTAGACGTCCATAAAATTCTATGCATTCTCGCACAGTAAGTAAGGAATCCAAAGTATTAGTTTGAGGACAATAGGAAATTTCCGGCTGTTGAAAGTAAAATATTATATTTTTGTAAAGCTACTTATGATATCAAGTTTAGAAACTCACATTTTCATAGACAATATGACCCACATTGGGTTGCACTTGTCCCGACAGCATTTTGAAAATAGTCGATTTGCCAGCACCATTTTTACCCAATAAACCAAAGCATTCTCCTGCATTAACCGAGAACGTTATATTCGATACTGCATATTGATTTTTACCATAGGATTTGCAAAGATTTTCCACTTTTAAAGCAGGTGTACTATCCATTTTATCATTTCTCTTAAGAGAATTTTGTATTGAAACAATTTTCAATTCTTCAAAATGTTTCTTATCTTTGGCTTGGAATAGACCCACACGTTCACTGATTTTCTCCTTACACTTATACCATAAACCGGACTCTAGCAGGACATTGATACATATAAACAATATACCCAATATGGTTAATGAGATATAGTGGGGTTTAAGCAAATCACTGGTTACAGGATTTTTATAAGAATCAATATCGTAACGTTTGAAAACCAATGCAACCATATAATTTTTACATATTTCGAGTAGACCATCGCCTAAAGCATGCTGAGGGAAGATAAGGAATAAACGATGATTTAAGAAGAAACGCCACTCATCCCAGGTGGCAGAATCACCCACCACACCCAATAATACAATAATGGACATGGTGAAGAGAGGTATGATGACATTTAAGATGAAAATCGTAACAATGGCCACACTGGAATCGGCGAAACACTTTTCGAAGACATGAACGGCAGGTATGCAGGCAAAACTGTAAAAGAAATAAGTTCAATATTTAAAGATTTAATGTGTAACCTTTGATAAAAGAAATTTCATTAAAAGACTTCAGGACTTTCCATGAAAGGAACAGATCTTTCGATGATAGAACTTCATAGAAAATATTTCTATAGAAATCCTTTCAACCAAAAAATTTTCTATCGAAAACTTTTCAACCAAAAGATTTTCTATCGAAAACTTTTCAACCAAAAGATTTTCTATCGAAAACTTTTAATCCGAAAGATTTTCTATAGAAAACTTGTCAATCGAAAGATTTTCTATAGAAAACTTGTCAATCGAAAGTTTTTCTATAGAAAACTTGTCAATCGAAAGTTTTTCTATAGAAAACTTGTCAATCGAAAGTTTTTCTATAGAAAACTTGTCAATCGAAAGTTTTTCTATAGAAAACTTGTCAATCGAAAGTTTTTCTATAGAATACTTGTCAATCGAAAGTTTTTCTATAGAAAACTTGTCAATCGAAAGATTTTCTATAGCAAAATTTTCAATCTAAAGTTTTTCTATAGAAAACTTGTCAATCAAAAGTTTTTCTAAAGAAAACTTGTCAATCGAGAGTTTTTCTATAGAAAACTTTTGAATAGAAAGTTTTTCTATATAAAACTTTTGAATAGAAAGTTTTTCTGTAGAAAACTTGTCAATCGAAAGTTTTTCTATAGAAAACTTGTCAATCGAAAGTTTTTCTATAGAAAACTTGTCAATGGAAAGTTTTTCTATAGAAAACTTGTCAATGGAAAGTTTTTCTATAGAAAACTTGTCAATGGAAAGTTTTTCTATAGAAAATTTGTCAATGGAAAGTTTTTCTATAGAAAATTTGTCAATGGAAAGTTTTTCTATAGAAAACTTGTCAATCGAAAGTGTTTCTATAGAAAACTTGTCAATCGAAAGTTTTTCTATAGAAAACTTGTCAATCGAAAGTTTTTCTATAGAAAACTTGTCAATCGAAAGTTTTTCTATAGAAAACTTGTCAATCGAAAGTTTTTCTATAGAAAACTTGTCAATCGAAAGTTTTTCTATAGAAAACTTATCAATCGAAAGTTTTTCTATAGAAAACTTGTCAATCGAAAGTTTTTCTATAGAAAACTTGTCAATCGAAAGTTTTTCTATAGAAAACTTGTCAATCGAAAGTTTTTCTATAGAAAACTTGTCAATCGAAAGTTTTTCTATAGAAAACTTGTCAATCGAAAGTTTTTCTATAGAAAACTTGTCAATCGAAAGTTTTTCTATAGAAAACTTGTCAATCGAAAGTTTTTCTATAGAAAACTTATCAATCGAAAGTTTTTCTATAGAAAACTTGTCAATCGAAAGTTTTTCTATAGAAAACTTGTCAATCGAAAGTTTTTCTATAGAAAACTTGTCAATCGAAAGTTTTTCTATAGTAGACTTGTCAATCGAAAGTTTTTCTATAGAAGACTTGTCAATCGAAAGTTTTTCTATAGAAAACTTGTCAATCGAAAGTTTTTCTATAGAAAACTTGTCAATCGAAAGTTTTTCTATAGAAAACTTGTCAATAAAGTTTTTCTATAGAAAACTTGTCAATCGAAAGTTTTTCTATAGAAAACTTGTCAATCGAAAGTTTTTCTATAGAAAACTTGTCAATCGAAAGTTTTTCTATAGAAAACTTGTCAATCGAAAGTTTTTCTATAGAAAACTTGTCAAACGAAAGTTTTTCTATAGAAAACTTGTCAATCGAAAGTTTTTCTATAGAAAACTTGTCAATCGAAAGTTTTTCTATAGAAAACTTGTCAATCGAAAGTTTTCTATAGAAAACTTGTCAATCGAAAGTTTTTCTATAGTAGACTTGTCAATCGAAAGTTTTTCTATAGAAGACTTGTCAATCGAAAGTTTTTCTATAGAAGACTTGTCAATCGAAAGTTTTTCTATAGAAAACTTGTCAATCGAAAGTTTTTCTATAGAAAACTTGTCAATCGAAAGTTTTTCTATAGAAAACTTGTCAATCGAAAGTTTTTCTATAGAAAACTTGTCAATCGAAAGTTTTTCTATAGAAAACTTGTCAATCGAAAGTTTTTCTATAGAAAACTTGTCAATCGAAAGTTTTTCTATAGAAAACTTGTCAATCGAAAGTTTTTCTATAGTAGACTTGTCAATCAAAAGTTTTTCTATAGAAGACTTGTCAATCGAAAGTTTTTCTATAGAAAACTTGTCAATCGAAAGTTTTTCTATAGAAAACTTGTCAATCGAAAGTTTTTCTATAGAAAACTTGTCAATCGAAAGTTTTTCTATAGAAAACTTGTCAATCGAAAGTTTTTCTATAGAAAACTTGTCAATCGAAAGTTTTTCTATAGAAAACTTGTCAATCGAAAGTTTTTCTATAGAAAACTTGTCAATCGAAAGTTTTTCTATAGAAAACTTGTCAATCGAAAGTTTTTCTATAGAAAACTTGTCAATCGAAAGTTTTTCTATAGAAAACTTGTCAATCGAGTGTTTTTCTATAGAAAGTTTTTGAATTGAAAGTTTTTCTATAGAAAGTTTTTGAATCGAAAGCTTTTCTATAGAAAACTTTTGAGTAGAAAACTTTTGAATAGAAAAGTTTTGAATCGATTTTCTATAGAAAACTTTTCAAATCGAAAGATTTTCTATAGAAAACTTTTCAAATCGAAAGATTTTCTATAGAAAACTTTTCAAATCGAAAGATTTTCTATAGAAAACTTTTCAATCGAAAGTTTTTCTATAGAAAACTTTTCAATCGAAAGTTTTTCTATAGAAAACTTTTCAATCGAAAGTTTTTCTATAGAAAACTTTTCAATCGAAAGTTTTTCTATAGAAAACTTTTCAATCGAAAGTTTTTCTATAGAAAACTTTTCAATCGAAAGTTTTTCTATAGAAAACTTTTCAATCGAAAGTTTTTCTATAGAAAACTTTTCAATCGAAAGTTTTTCTATAGAAAACTTTTCAATCGAAAGTTTTTCTATAGAAAACTTTTCAATCGAAAGTTTTTCTATAGAAAACTTTTCAATCGAAAGTTTTTCTATAGAAAACTTTTCAATCGAAAGTTTTTCTATAGAAAACTTTTCAATCGAAAGTTTTTCTATAGAAAACTCTTCAATCGAGAGTTTTGCTATAGAAAACTTTTCAATCGAAAGTTTTTTATAGAAAACTTTTCAATCGAAAGTTTTTCTATAGAAAACTTTTCAATATAGAAAACTTTCAATCGAAAGTTTTTCTATAGAAAACTTTTCAATCGAAAGTTTTTCTATAGAAAACTTTTCAATCGAAAGTTTTTCTATAGAAAACTTTTCAATCGAAAGTTTTTCTATAGAAAACTTTTCAATCGAAAGTTTTTCTATAGAAAACTTTTCAATCGAAAGTTTTTCTATAGAAGACTTGTCAATCTAAAGTTTTTCTATAGAAAATGTTTAGCAATCATTGGAATGGAAACGATTACTTACGCAAAGAATAAGGCCAAGACAATAACACCCCACAGTTGCTGGCGATCGGTGAACACTGGCATATCAAAAGCCAGAATAATGGAACTGCATACCAATACTGCTAAAATCATAATCTAAAGAAAGAAAAACAATTACAACTTGAAATTAAATTTCTAAATCGCTTAAACCCACCAAAAAGTCCCAAACGAAAGCCACACCCCAATAGGTGGAGGCATCGACACCGCACAATTTCTGCTGTAACTTTTCACCTTTAACACGTTCATTGACTAGATATACCGAGGCTACAGCCACCACCATTGAAAAGGCTATGAGCAAAATGAAAGCCATACAGGAGTCACCAGCCTGGCGTAAACTGAAATACAAATATTAATTATAAAAATCTTTCACAAAATCCCCTTAAACTTACATGGATGTTGTACTCAATTCCATATAACCCAATTCCCAGGGTTCATTATAGGCTGTTATTTTATAGTTGGTATCATTTGTTTCGATTTGCAGCAGATAGGAATTCATATCATTTAACCAGGCCATCATGGCATGATAACCTTTGTTATTATACCAAACTATAGATTTGCTATCATTGAAACTATAACCACCATAACGTTTCTCTTGATAATCATTCAAAGTCTCTAGAATCCAATAGAATGATCTTTCCGAATTATGAAATTGTTTACAGGGCATTTCGGCAGAACAATCCTGTTTCATATTATCATAAACTTTTTGGGTAAAATCTAAAGATTTTTCCATACTTAACATTTGTGTGGTCTTGGGATATAGATCACGTGATAATTGTATGGTTTTATCAAAATCATCTTCCAGCCGCTGAGCCACAAACCACATGGCACAAATTTCAAAGAGAGCCGGTAATACTATTACGCACAACAACATTTTGTAGTTGCGGCTAAAATGCACTAAACGTTTCCAGAACAATTGGCGCATGGCTTCGAATCTAGTCAAGGGCGTCTCACGTACCATATCCCAACCGAAATCTTTCTTTAGTTTAACATTTTTCATCATATCGATGGCATGACCATTGAATCTAACACTGCCATTACAATTCTTATCCAAATTCTTGAAAACATGTTCCAAATTTTCCGTTTCTACACTCAAATCCTTTATTCTTCCCTGACTTTGTAGTTCTTGTAAATATTTCAAATATTCCGATGAATTTTCATTCTGTTGATCGTAGGATATTCTTAACCTTAAATCGGTGGTAGAAGATTTTTCTAATTCTCTAAAGTTGGTCAGCAGTTTATCGGCCTTTTTGGTAATTTCATCAGAAGTTTGTGAATCACAGCAATTCATGTAGACTTCATAGTAAGAGGTACAATGATTTTTCAAAGTTTCCGGATTATGTTTGGCTATAATTTTTCCCTGCAAAGATTAAAAGTTTATGAAGAACTATTTATGAGCGAAGTGTTTAACTTACATTCTTCATGATGACTATAACATCGCTAAGATGTTCAGCTTCATCGAGGAAATGTGTGGCAAATATGACAGCCCTTCCTTTACGTAATCTCTCTATAAGGTCCCATATATCTTTACGGGCTTTATTATCAACACCATTGCAAGGTTCATCTAAGATCACAACATTGGGAGATCCTGGAAGAGAAGAAAAATGAGAAATATTAAGAAAAGTTTTACACTAGAATACCATTCGATTGAAAAGTTTTTTAAAAAAATCTTTCGCTGGTAAAGTTTTCTATAGAAAATCTTTCGCTGGTAAAGTTTTCTATAGAAAATCTTTCGCTGGTAAAGTTTTCTATAGAAAATCTTTCGCTGGTAAAGTTTTCTATAGAAAATCTTTCGCTGGCAAAGTTTTCTATTGAAAATCTTTCGCTGGTAAAGTTTTCTATAGAAAATCTTTCGCTGGTAAAGTTTTCTATAGAAAATCTTTCGCTGGTAAAGTTTTCTATAGAAAATCTTTCGCTGGTAAAGTTTTCTATAGAAAATCTTTCGCTGGTAAAGTTTTCTATAGAAAATCTTTCGCTGGTAAAGTTTTCTATAGAAAATCTTTCGCTGGTGAAGTTTTCTATAGAAAATCTTTCGCTGGTGAAGTTTTCTATAGAAAATCTTTCGCTGGTGAAGTTTTCTATAGAAAATCTTTCGCTGGTAATGTTTTCTATAGAAAATCTTTCGCTGGTAAAGTTTTCTATAGAAAATCTTTCGCTGGTAAAGTTTTCTATAGAAAATCTTTCGCTGGTAAAGTTTTCTATAGAAAATCTTTCGCTGGTAAAGTTTTCTATAGAAAATCTTTCGCTGGTAAAGTTTTCTATAGAAAATCTTTCGCTGGTAAAGTTTTCTATAGAAAATCTTTCGCTGGTAAAGTTTTCTATTGAAAATCTTTCGCTGGTAAAGTTTTCTATAGAAAATCTTTCGCTGGTAAAGTTTTCTATAGAAAATCTTTCGCTGGTAAAGTTTTCTATAGAATATCTTTCGCTGGTAAAGTTTTCTATAGAATATCTTTCGCTGGTAAAGTTTTCTATAGAAAATCTTTCGCTGGTAAAGTTTTCTATAGAAAATCTTTCGCTGGTTAAGTTTTCTATAGAAAATCTTTCGCTGGTAAAGTTTTCTATAGAAAATATTTCGCTGGTAAAGTTTTCTATAGAAAATCTTTCGCTGGTAAAGTTTTCTATAGAAAATCTTTCGCTGGTAAAGTTTTCTATAGAAAATCTTTCGCTGGTAAAGTTTTCTATAGAAAATCTTTCGCTGGTAAAGTTTTCTATAGAAAATCTTTCGCTGGTAAAGTTTTCTATAGAAAATCTTTCGCTGGTAAAGTTTTCTATAGAAAATCTTTCGCTGGTAAAGTTTTCTATAGAAAATCTTTCGCTGGTAAAGTTTTCTATAGAAAATCTTTCGCTGGCAAAGTTTTCTATTGAAAATCTTTCGCTGGTAAAGTTTTCTATAGAAAATCTTTCGCTGGTAAAGTTTTCTATAGAAAATCTTTCGCTGGTAAAGTTTTCTATAGAATATCTTTCGCTGGTAAAGTTTTCTATAGAAAATCTTTCGCTGGTAAAGTTTTCTATAGAAAATCTTTCGCTGGTAAAGTTTTCTATAGAAAATCTTTCGCTGGTAAAGTTTTCTATAGAAAATCTTTCGCTGGCAAAGTTTTCTATTGAAAATCTTTCGCTGGTAAAGTTTTCTATAGAAAATCTTTCGCTGGTAAAGTTTTCTATAGAAAATCTTTCGCTGGTAAAGTTTTCTATAGAATATCTTTCGCTGGTAAAGTTTTCTATAGAATATCTTTCGCTGGTAAAGTTTTCTATAGAAAATCTTTCGCTGGTAAAGTTTTCTATAGAAAATCTTTCGCTGGTAAAGTTTTCTATAGAAAATCTTTCGCTGGTAAAGTTTTCTATAGAAAATATTTCGCTGGTAAAGTTTTCTATAGAAAATCTTTCGCTGGTAAAGTTTTCTATAGAAAATCTTTCGCTGGTAAAGTTTTCTATAGAAAATCTTTCGCTGGTAAGGTTTTCTATAGAAAATCTTTCGCTGGTAAGGTTTTCTATAGAAAATCTTTCGCTGGTAAAGTTTTCTATAGAAAATCTTTCGCTGGTAAAGTTTTCTATAGAAAATCTTTCGCTGTTAAAGTTTTCTATAGAAAATCTTTCGCTGGTAAAGTTTTCTATAGAAAATCTTTCGCTGGTAAAGTTTTCTATAGAAAATCTTTCGCTGGTAAAGTTTTCTATAGAAAATCTTTCGCTGGCAAAGTTTTCTATAGAAAATCTTTCGCTGGCAAAGTTTTCTATAGAAAATCTTTCGCTGGCAAAGTTTTCTATAGAAAATCTTTCGCTGGTAAAGTTTTCTATAGAAAATCTTTCGCTGGTAAAGTTTTCTATAGAAAATCTTTCGCTGGTAAAGTTTTCTATAGAAAATCTTTGGCTGTTAAAGTTTTCTATAGAAAATCTTTGGCTGTTAAAGTTTTCTATAGAAAATCTTTCGCTGGAAAAGATTAAGAGAAATTTTCTAAAGAAAATCTTGCTGGAAAAGTTTTATATAGAAAATATTTGGCTGAAAAAGTTTTCTATAGAATGTCTTTCGCTAAAAAAGTTTTTCGATTGAAGAATTTTCTGTAGAAAATGTGTCTAGAGAAGAGTTTTATATAGAACATGTCTCGATGTTTTCTTTGCTCACCTATAAAAGCTATCGCCACACACAATCGCCTCTGATAGCCACCCGATAACTGTGAAGCCTGATAACTTTCATGTTTTCCAAAATTTAAATTCTTTAGAGTTTTATTAACTTCCGCTTCGTAACCATTTTTCAATTTTATTTTTGCATACATTTCCAAATGCTCACGAGCCGTTAGATTTGGTATCAAAATATTATCCTGGGCACAAACACCAATCTTATCATAATCGGTAGAGTTAGACATAGCCTGGGAAAGAATAACACGACCAGTTGTTTGCACCACCTGACCGGTAAGCATTTTTCTAAGAGAGTAAAGGAAACATTAGTTAAATACTCAGATTAAGATGGAAACAATAAACTTACATTATTGTACTCTTTCCAGCACCATTACGACCCAACAGACAAGTGACTTGATTTCTGGGAAACGATAGGGAAATGTCGCTAACAGCAATTTTATTTTCATTATAAACTTTGGTAACATTTGTCAGTGTAGCACCCACACTAGAATCTAAATCTTCTCTTTGGACTTCAGTAAAACGGAATTCATCTTTAAAAGAAAAATTTCTATAAATTATCGAATCTAAATTTGAATACCCCTTTACTCACCATCCTTAAATCTCTGGTGAACATAACCAATAAATGTATAAATACACAAATCCAGTACAATCATAAACAAAGCAAAACCGTATTCTCCCCTTAAACCTTCACGAAATACTGACTCAAAACTTAAACCAACTTCTTGCAATTCCATGCGCATAATATGACTCCAGCCATGAGCAAATGCAGTGGTAAAAGATAAATTAATGGCAAAATTTTGCAAAGAATTCAATTGAGCATCAAATAGTAAAACTATAATGTAAGGACAGAAGGTAATGAAGAAAATGACAGCGGTGGCTACAGCTCCTATCGTGGCTGACATAAAGAAAGTTGAACACAAGTAGCTGCGAAAAAAAATTATTGAGTTAATAAAGAAGTTTTAACAAGAAAATTTGAAGTTTCCTACCAGAAAGATATAAGACAAGCTCCAAAGATACAGAGATAAATCATAACAAACAACCATTTGGTATAGACCACCATACCGCCTGAATATAAAATAATACTGCAGCCGATAAATATTATAAGTAATTCCAAAAAAGTCACTATACACCAGGAAGTCAATTCGGAGCAAGGTTTCAAGCCCATAGAGCGCATGATCTAAAGATGGAAAAGTAAATAAAAAATCGAAAATGAAATTTTTCCTTTAATCAAAAATATTTTCTACAGAAAATTTTTTGGTAATTGGAAAAATTTTCTATAGAAAATGTCTCTCGATCATTGGGAGACTTCCTATAGAAAATGTCTCTCGATCAATGAGAGATTTCCTATGGAAAATGTCTCTCGATCAGTGAGAGATTTCGTATAGAAAAAGTCCCTCTATCAGCGAGAGATTTCCCAAAGAAAATGTCTCTCAATCAGCGAGAGATTTTCTATAGAAAATTTCTCTCAATCAGCGAGAGATTTCCTATAGAAAATGTCTCTCGATCATTGAGAGACTTCCTATAGAAAATGTCTCTCGATCAGTGAGAGATTTTCTATAGAAAATGACTCTCAATCAGCGAGAGATTTCCTAATGAAAATGTCTCTCGATCAGCGAGAAATTTCCTATAGAAATGACTCTCGATCAGCGAGAGATTTCCCATAGAAAATGACTCTCGATCAGCGAGAGATTTCCAATAGAAAATGTCTCTCGATCAGGGAGAGATTTTCTATAGAAAATGTCTCTCGATCAGCAAGAGATTTCCTATAGAAAATGTCTCTCAATCAGCGAGAAATTTCTTATAGAAGATGTCTCTCGATCAACGAGAGAATAATTTTTGATAGAAAATCTTTCCATAAAAGAGTTTTCTATAGAAAATCATTCGATAAAAGAGTTTTCTATAGAAAATAATTCGATAAAAAAGTTTTCTATAGAAAATTAGGGAGTTTTCTGTAGAAAATAAGTCTATACAAGAGTTTTGTGTAAAAATAAACTCACCATAGAATTTCTCGACTCTCGCATCCATATCAAATGTCTCACACAAGAGGCGATTTCTGCTACTAGACCCAAAAAGAATGCACACTGTATAGCTTGAGCCAAATAAATACCAGTTTTGAAACTGAAATTAAAAGATTTACAAAATACAAAGTCGGTTTTCCTCTTCTATTAAAAATACCAAAACTTACTCATCCTCCGTATAAGCTGGATATGGGAACTGTTTCGTATGAAATTCCAAATCATCTATAGCATATTTAAGAGTACCATCTGAATCATCACTAAAACCCAATAAAAAGTCAAAGAAACCTTGACGTTTTGTCTCCGTAAGATATCCAGATTCAACTCATCCTCCTCTGAGCTATCATTTAAATCCGTATAAAAAGTGGTAGGTTTTGGAAGCTCTTGTATTACTAAAGTAGTAGCAGAATCATTAAAATTCTGTTCTGTAGTGGCAGCTAAATCATGTATGTTCACTTGGGTAGGTAATCTTACAGAATCTTTAAGATCGGCTATGCCAGCGGATAGGCTTGATATTAAACTAGAGGTAGGACGGGGAACATTGGAACTTTCGGTTTTATTTGAATCGGTAAACCAATCATCATCATCTTCGCTTCATCTTCAGCATCAGCAGCATCTCATCAGTGACCACTTTTATGGAGAAGGAACTTTAGGTGTAGTCGTAATTGTACTTCCGCTAGTAAACCTTGCTTTTTTCAGTTTTCTCTTTTTTATGCTTTATTATACCCAAATCAAGAGATTGTTTAATTTGTACAAAACCTCGATGATATTTCATATCCATTAACATACTTCCTGCCGGTCCGGGGAACCAAAAACGATTACGATTTTCTATTGTGGGTTGTGTATTTTGAGTATCCCATGTGGAACTTATAGGAAACATTTTCTGTCTCAGTTTCATTAAAATATATAGCCGCATAAAATAGTCTCTTTTGATTTAGTTCAAAAGCTTTACGTCTTAACTCTGATTCAGTATCATAGGCTTCAAAACGATTCTACCGAAAACATTCTAGAATATTTTTGATGGTTTGTTATGCATCATAGATAATGGGATCGGTACGTATACGTTGTATAACAGCTTCAATTTGATCCATATCAATTTCATCACCAATAATTGAGCGAACAAATGGAAGTCTGAGCAAACGAATCAGACCGTCAAAACCATCCTGAAAGGGTTTATCTTCACGCAACTTAGTGAGAATTTGCTCCAATGCTACCGATAACATTTTTAAGCGATTCAGGTTCTTCAAAGGTTGAATTGGGACTACAAAAATTATAGAAATAAAGAACGTAAATGAGAAGAGTTTTCTATAGAAAATCAAGGAATGAAAGAGTTATTTTCTGTAAACATAAGTATCTTTCCATAAAAGGGCACTTTTTCAGTAGAAAATTTCTATATAAAGAAATTCTGACAGAAACTCTTTCCATAGAAGAGTTTCTATAGAAAAGAAAAGTTTTCTTTAGAAAATTTTTCGACAGAATAGCTTTCTATAGAAAATCTTTCGATAGAAGAGTTTTCTATAGAAAATCTTTCGATAGAAGAGTTTCTATAGAAAATCTTTCGATAGAGGTTTCTATAGAAAATCTTTCGTAGAAGAGTTTTCTATAGAAAATCTTTCGATAGAAGAGTTTTCTATAGAAAATCTTTCGATAGAAGAGTTTTCTATAGAAAATCTTTCGATAGAAGAGTTTTCTATAGGAAAATCTTTCGATAGAAGAGTTTTCTATTGAACATCTTTCGATTAGAAGAGTTTTCTATAGCAAATCTTTCGATAGAAGAGTTTTCTATAGAAAATCTTTCGGATAGAAGAAGTTTTCTATAGATAAATCTTTCGATAGAGCCCGGTTTTCTATTAGAAAATCTTTCGATAGAAGAGTTTTCTATAGAAATCTTTCGATAGAAGAGTTTTCTATAGAAAATCTTTCGATTAGAAGAGTTTTCTATAGAAAATCTTTCGATTTAGAAGAGTTTTCTGTAGAAAATCTTCGATAGAAGAGTTTTCTATAGAAAATCTTTCGATAGAAGAGTTTTTTATAGAGAAATCTTTCGATCGAAGCGTTTTCTATAGAAAATCTTCCGGATCGAAGAGTTTTTCTATAGAAAATCTTTCGATAGAAGAGTTTTCTATAGAAAATCTTTCGATAGAAGAGTTTTCTATAGAAAATTTCGATAGAAGAGTTTTTTATAGAAAATCATTCGATGGAAGAGTTTTCAATAGAAAATCTTTTGACAGAAAAGTTTTTATAGAAAATCTTTCGACAGAAGAGTTTTTTATAAAAAATCTTTCGATAGAAGAGTTTCTATAGAAAATCTTTCGATAGAAGAGTTTTCTATAGAAAATCTTTCGATAGAAGAGTTTTCTATAGAAAATCTTTCGATAGAAGTGTTTTCTATAGAAAATCTTTCGATAGAAGAGTTTTCAATAGAAAATCTTTTGACAGAAAAGTTTTTTATAGAAAATCTTTCGACAGAAGAGTTTTTTATAAAAAATCTTTCGATAGAAGAGTTTTCTATAGAAAATCTTTCGATAGAAGTGTTTTCTATAGAAAATCTTTCGATAGAAGAGTTTTCTATAGAAAATCTTTCGATAGAAGAGTTTTCTATAGAAAATCTTTCGATAGAAGAGTTTTCTATAGAAAATCTTTCGATAGAAGAGTTTTCTATAGAAAATCTTTCGATAGAAGAGTTTTCTATAGAAAATCTTTTGGCAGAAAAGTTTTTTATAGAAAATCTTTCAACAGAAGAGTTTTTTATAAAAAATCTTTCGATAGAAGAGTTTTTATAGAAAATCTTTCGATAGAAGAGTTTTCTATAGAAAATCTTTCGATAGAAAGGGTTTATCTTCACGCAACTTAGTGAGAATTTGCTCCAATGCTACCGATAACATTTTTAAGCGATTCAGTTCTTCAAAGGTTGAATTAGACTACAAAAATTATAGAAATAAAGAACGTAAATGAGGAGTTTTCTATAGAAAATCAAGGAATGAAAGAGTTATTTTCTGTAAACATAAGTATCTTTCCATAAAAGGGCACTTTTTCAGTAGAAAATTTCTATATAAAGAAATTCTGACAGAAAATCTTTCCATAGAAGGTTTCTATAGAAAAGAAAAGTTTTCTTTAGAAAATTTTTCGACAGAATAGCTTTCTATAGAAAATCTTCGATAGAAGAGTTTTCTATAGAAAATCTTTCGATAGAAGAGTTTTCTATAGAAAATCTTTCGATAGAAGAGTTTTCTATAGAAAATCTTTCGATAGAAGAGTTTTCTATAGAAATCTTTCGATAGAAGAGTTTTCTATAGAAAATCTTTCGATAGAAGAGTTTTCTATAGAAAATCTTTCGATAGAAGAGTTTTCTATAGAAAATCTTTCGATAGAAGAGTTTTCTATAGAAAATCTTTCGATAGAAGAGTTTTCTATAGAAAATCTTTCGATAGAAGAGTTTTCTATAGAAAATCTTTCGATAGAAGAGTTTTCTATAGAAAATCTTTCGATAGAAGAGTTTTCTATAGAAAATCTTTCGATAGAAGAGTTTTCTATAGAAAATCTTTCGATAGAAGAGTTTTCTATAGAAAATCTTTCGATAGAAGAGTTTTCTATAGAAAATCTTTCGATAGAAGAGTTTTCTATAGAAAATCTTTCGATAGAAGAGTTTTCTATAGAAAATCTTTCGATAGAAGAGTTTTCTGTAGAAAATCTTCGATAGAAGAGTTTTCTATAGAAAATCTTTCGATAGAAGAGTTTTTTATAGAAAATCTTTCGATAGAAGAGTTTTCTATAGAAAATCTTCGATAGAAGAGTTTTCTATAGAAAATCTTTCGATAGAAGAGTTTTCTATAGAAAATCTTTCGATAGAAGAGTTTTTATAGAAAATCATTCGATGGAAGAGTTTTCAATAGAAAATCTTTTGACAGAAAAGTTTTTATAGAAAATCTTTCGACAGAAGAGTTTTTATAAAAAATCTTTCGATAGAAGAGTTTTCTATAGAAAATCTTTCGATAGAAGAGTTTTCTATAGAAAATCTTTCGATAGAGAGTTTTCGAAAGTTTTCTATAGAAAACTCTATCGAAAGATTTTCTATAGAAAATCTTTATCGAAAGATTTTTATAGAAAATCTTCTATCGAAAGATTTTCTATAGAAAATCTTCTATCGAAGATTTTTTATAAAAATCTTTTCGAAAGATTTTCTATAAAAACTTTTCGTCAAAAGATTTTCTATGAAAATCTTCATCGAATGTTTTCTAAAAAATCTTCGAAAGAGTTTCTATAGAAAACTTTCTATCGAGAAGATTTTCTATAGAAAATCTTCTATCGGAAGATTTTCTATAGAAAACTCTTCTATCGAAAGATTTTTATAAAAATCTTCTATCGAAAGATTTTCTATAGAAAACTTTCTATCGAAGATTTTCTAGAAAATCTTCTATCGAAAGATTTTCTATAGAAAACTTTCTATCGAAGATTTTCTATAGAAAATCTTCTATCGAAAGAGTTTTCTATAGAAAATCTTCTATCGAAGATTTTCTATAGAAAATCTTCTATCGAAGATTTTCTATAGAAAATCTTCTATCGAAAGATTTTCTATAGAAAATCTTCTATAAGATTTTCTATAGAAAACTCTTCTATCGAAAGATTTTCTATAGAAAACTTTTATCGAAAGATTTTCTATAGAAAATCTTCTATCGAAGATTTTCTATAGAAAATCTTCTATCGAAGATTTTCTATAGAAAACTTTCTATCGAAAGATTTCTATAGAAAATCTTCTATCGAAAGATTTTCTATAGAAAACTCTTTTCGAAAGATTTTCTATAGAAAATCTTCTATAGAAAGATTTTCTATAGAAAATTCTATCGAAAGATTTTCTATAGAAAACTCTTCTATCGAAGATTTTCTATAGAAAACTCTTCTATCGAAAGATTTTCTATAGAAAGCTATTCTGTCGAAAAATTTTCTAAAGAAAACTTTTCTTTTCTATAGAAAACTCTTCTATGGAAAGATTTTCTGTCAGAATTTCTTTGATAGAAATTTTCTACTGAAAAGTGCCCTTTTATGGAAAGATACTTATGTTTACAGAAAATAACTCTTTCATTCCTTGATTTTCTATAGAAAACTCTTCTCATTTACGTTCTTTATTTCTATAATTTTTGTAGTCTAATTCAACCTTTGAGAACTGAATCGCTTAAAATGTTATCGGTAGCATTGGAGCAAATTCTCACTAAGTTGCGTGAAGATAAACCCTTTCTATCGAAAGATTTTCTATAGAAAACTCTTCTATCGAAAGATTTTCTATAAAAAACTCTTCTATCGAAAGATTTTTTATAAAAAACTCTTCTGTTGAAAGATTTTCTATAAAAAACTTTTCTGCCAAAAGATTTTCTATAGAAAACTCTTCTATCGAAAGATTTTCTATAGAAAACTCTTCTATCGAAAGATTTTCTATAGAAAACTCTTCTATCGAAAGATTTTCTATAGAAAACTCTTCTATCGAAAGATTTTCTATAGAAAACTCTTCTATCGAAAGATTTTCTATAGAAAACACTTCTATCGAAAGATTTTCTATAGAAAACTCTTCTATCGAAAGATTTTTTATAAAAAACTCTTCTGTCGAAAGATTTTCTATAAAAAACTTTTCTGTCAAAAGATTTCTATTGAAAACTCTTCTATCGAAAGATTTTCTATAGAAAACACTTCTATCGAAAGATTTTCTATAGAAAACTCTTCTATCGAAAGATTTCTATAGAAAACTTTCTATCGAAAGATTTTCTATAGAAAACTCTTCTATCGAAAGATTTTTATAAAAAAACTCTTCTGTCGAAAGATTTTCTATAAAAAACTTTTCTGTCAAAAGATTTTCTATTGAAAACTCTTCCATCGAATGATTTTCTATAA